GGGAAAAAGAGTGCATAAGCAACACTTAACCCTTTACCGATCCTCTTGAGCCGTGATCACTATGAGTGAGGATTGAACGTCGTCTTCTTGATTCTTGTTTAACTCCTTAAGTAATCCATTGATGGCTTGGTTGAACTTCTTGGCTCTTGATCTTGTTAGAGGACCCGCCGGGACGATCAATGCTTCCTCCGGTACAAGCTGTTCTTCGTGGCCGGTGGTTCGTGGCCGTGTGTTCTCGGCTTCAAGTAGCTCCTCTTCTTTGTGTGGTTCAAGTGAACTGGCCATGATTTCATCAGAAAGTGTTACTTAGGCCTCATTAAAAACCTTGTCAAGAAAACCCATTGGGACAAAACTTGACAAGGGATAAAAACATACCAAAGGAACTTAGAGCTAATACGCAAAGTCGGGGATCATAAAAACGGACCGATAGAACTTAAAGCTAATACGCAAAGTAATATGTTTCTCCTAGAATCGACACTCTTGAAGCTTCTTGAGCCTTGATCTTGTTAGAGGACCTTCCGGGATGACTAGTGCTTCTTCTACTTCGAGCTTCTCCTCGGCTACGTGCTCCTCGTCGTCTTCGTGTTTCTCCTCGTCGACTTTGTGCTTCTCCTCGTCGACTTTGTGCTTCTCCTCGTCGTCATCGTGCTTCTCCTCGTAGACGGCTTCCTCCACTTCGTTCTCGAGGTCTTGTTCGACCATGGTCATATCATGCCCTCCGTCTTGAAAAGGATTTGTCCTCAAATCCGTTTCATCTACAATATAAGGAGATAAATCAGAAACATTGAAGCTTGAACTAATATTGTACTTACCTTGGAGATCAATTAGATAGGAATTGTCATTGATCCGTTTTGTGACGGTGAATGGTCCATCGATTCTTGGCTTCAATTTGCTATTCCGCTCGGCCGGGAACCTTTCCTTCCTCAAGTGAATCCATACTTGGTCGCCATCCTCGAAGACCATGCGTCGTCGGCCCTTGTTAGCTTGCTCCATGTACTTCTTCGTTTTCTCCTCAATGTTCTTACGAGCGCTCTCATGGATTTGTTGCACCGTTTCGGCCTTCCTTTTGCCATCCAAGCTAGGTCTTACACTCAAAGGTAAAGGCATCAAATCCAAAGGAGAAGTGGGATTGAACCCATAAACAATTTGAAATGGTGAAAACTTAGAAGCGGAATGAATGGCATGATTGTATGCAAATTCCACATGAGGTAAACATTCTTCCCAAGTTCTAAGATTCTTTTTAATCAATGTGCGCAAGAGAGTGCCTAGGGTTCTATTAACCACTTCCGTTTGACCATCGGTTTGCGGATGACAAGTAGTAGAAAATAAGAGCTTAGTTCCAAGTTTAGACCATAATGTTTTCCAAAAATAGCTAAGAAACTTGGTATCCCTATCCGAAACAATGGTTCTAGGCATGCCATGCAAACGAACAATTTCTTTAAAGAACAAATTAGCAACAAGAGATGCATCATCGGTTTTATGACAAGCAATGAAATGTGCCATCTTAGAAAACCTATCAACGACAACGAAAATCGAATCTTTTCCGGTTTTAGTTCTAGGTAATCCAAGCACAAAATCCATTGATATATCAGTCCAAGGATGAGAAGGAATGGGTAAAGGAGTATACAAACCGTTCGGCTGGACTTTGGACTTAGCCTTTTTACATGTGACACACCTTCCACATATACGCTCAACGTCTCTTACCATATGCGGCCAATGGAAATGATCGCGCATCACCTCAAGTGTCTTGGCAATGCCAAAGTGACCCATAAGTCCTCCTCCGTGTGCTTCCCTAACAAACAAATCTCGAAGAGAACATTTAGGAATACACAAACGGTTCCCATAAAAGAGGAACCCATCTTGCCTATGGTAGCGACCCGAAGCAAACTTAGAACAAGCATTATAAATTTCTTGAAAATCCGGATCGGTAGCATAGAGTTCTTTAATTTGCTCGAAACCCAAAAGCTTAGCATTAAGAGTTGTGAGTAAGGTGTACCTTCGGGATAATGCGTCGGCCACGACATTATCCTTACCTTTTTTATACTTGATGACATATGGGAATGTCTCGATAAATTCAACCCATCTCGCATGTCTCTTGTTAAGTTTTTGCTGACCTTTAAGATGCTTAAGGGATTCGTGATCGGTGTGTATGACAAAGTCCTTCGGCCATAAATAATGCTGCCACGTTTGTAAGGCCCGGACCAAAGCGTAGAGTTCCTTGTCATACGTCGGATAGTTCAATGTGGCACCACCGAGTTTCTCACTAAAATATGCTATCGGCTTCTTATCCTGCATCAAAACAGCTCCAATACCTATCCCGGAGGCATCACATTCGATTTCAAAAGTTTTAAGAAAATCGGGTAAAATCAAGATAGGGGCGTTAGTAAGCTTCTCTTTAAGCGCTTGGAAGGCTTTTTCTTGGGCGTCCTCCCATTTGAACCCGATATCCTTCTTGATAACTTCGGTAAGTGGTGCAGCTAAGGTGCTAAAATCCTTG